AAATTCCATGTATTTGAATATTTTTTAATTTATTAATATTTTTTAACTTTAATAAATTTTGTTTAAGTTGTTTTATTTTTTGAAATGATTTCTCGGTGCCGGGAAATGGGTTGCAGCGATCAGCGCCTGCAGCTCTACTAGCATCGGCCGGGTGCCTTCCATACTGGCAACAACTGTCGAACCGGCGGCTCCCGCCGATCTTTCCGACAGGAACAGCTCCGAAGGATTGGATACCTCAGCCAAACCGGACTCATTCATTTCAAAGATGCCGATTTCATTGGTGCTGCCGAATCGGTTCTTCACCGCACGAAGCAGGCGGTACGTATGATGCCTTTCTCCTTCAAAGTAAAGCACACAGTCCACCATATGCTCCAGCATCCGCGGTCCGGCGATGGCTCCTTCCTTCGTCACGTGCCCAACCAGCACGGTGGCGATGCCCTGCCCTTTCGCTATACGCATAAAACGTCCCGTGCATTCCCGAACCTGGGAAACGCTGCCCGGCGCGCTCGTGATTTCCGACAAATAAACCGTTTGAATGGAATCGATCACCAAAAAGTCCGGTTTTACGCTGTCGATCGCCTCTTCGATCCGTTCCACGCTGCTTTCGCAAAGTACGTACAATTCCGGGGATAACGCCCCTCGGCTTGCTTTGATCACGGGCAATACATGTACCCCGACGTGGGTAATTTGGAGCTTATGGATCGACGACGGTGCCGCAACTTTGCTACGGTGCAGCTTGTAAAGCAAAAAGCGGAACGAGAGGAGAATTCTTACTTCAAGTAAAAAGAAAGATACTATTGAAACATCTGCAGACTCGCATATTTGTTGTCATCGTAGAAGAAGGACAATCATCAGGTATTGTCGTATACCGGTATGGCGAGCGTGGCTGCAACTCTGTTACCGTGGTTTCTCGTCAGGACACCTTGACTCTTGTGAACTACTGTAGGTATCTCGTCGACCTGATCACCCATCCGGTGGGCCACCGCCAACGCGTTCGTACACTGCACGTGGAGTCCAAGTCGTGGACGTGCATAGGGAGGTGTCGATTCGTCGACAGGCTACCTTCTTGTGCTGCACGTTGTGCACGTGCTGAATGGAAGCATTCCAGACCGCACCGTACTACAAGTAGCAAACATGAGGAAGTGTAGTTGTATTGTTTGTTCGAGAGTGCTAGTTGATGGCTATTATCCTCGATTTGAGACGCACTTGAGGTCGCCACGAGATCGAAGCTAAGAGAATTAACATGCATGAGCTTGGCACAGGCCAAACTGTGAAGACGGCCAACTCACCAAGAAGGCCCAGAAAAAAAAAAGAGTCAAGCCGCTCAGAGGTTATTGGCAACAGCGTAACGAAGCGCCTCCAGTCTGTCAGCGAGAGGCTTGTGCGAGCGCTCGGTGAACAGCATCTTGACATCCATGCCAACGTGGTCGTACTCGGCCGTGAATTCACGCTTGTCGGCGTTTTTGCCTTCTTCAATATGGTAGTAGCTGCAGTCCAGCGGAGGAACAATCGTTCCACGCGCACGAGCGATGTGGTCGTGAGTACGCACAGTGCAGCGCTTGATCTTGTACGACGGATTGTACCAGCACATTTCTTCAAACGAGTGCGACTTGAGGCATTTGCTGTTAGTGCACTTGGCTCCACGGAGGCAGAACATGCGCTTGCTATCATCCACCCACTCCCACGTGACTCCAGTATCCACATGCACACATACACAGCTGTCGTCTTCCTTGATTTGACTGCCCCAGTAGTGAGACGGCTGACGACAGATCAAGCGTTTGTAGAGCGGGTTGTACGTCATGACTTCCATATACGTGTGTGACAGCGGGCAGGTCGGGTCGTGACCAGGTAGCAACGGACACAGCGTCGCCTTGGGCAATTCATCCATATGATTAAGCATTCGTGCGAACATGGCTTTACGGACACGGTCGCTTTCCTTGGGCAGCTCAGTCGGCCGATCGTGGTACCAGTTGAACGCTGGGACCAGTGCCAGAATGGCCTGGGTCGGTACATCGGTCTGCTTCATTGCGAACGCTGCTGCTGGGAGTAACGATCTCGTTTGCGGGCTTTCAGCACTAGGCGGTAATGGCGGCTGCGTCGAGCTCTTAAGTGGGCTTTCAGCTCTCAGTAGATGCGGCGATCTCTGCAATGGACTTTCGGGTCCAGGAGGGAGCGGTGGCTGCAAAGTGGGCTTCTGCGGACTTCCAGATCCAGGAGGAAGTGGAGGCTGCGACCACACACTACTCGAATTCTCATTGTATCCTGGAGGGAGCGGAGGGGCATCTCGACTTGAATTGCTGGTAGTGCTACCAATCGAGCCTAGACGCGATAAGGACGGCGCTTGTGTTGAACTGCCATTTAATCCATTCAAACTGCTCAAGTCCAAGCCACTTAAACCTGGTGGCCCAGGCGGTAAAGGTGGCGCTTGAGCAGATAGACCTTGAGTGGATAGACCAGATAGACCGGCATTACGGAACCCTGGCGGTAGGGACATGTTTCGATTAGTACTTTGGTTGTCTTGGAATAGCGAGGGCGATTGCATGGTCGAGTTGACGTTGATACCATTGTTGGCCATTAGCTGGATAATGAAGTCGAACGGCGTCTGATCGTTGCCATTGCCGCCTGCTGCTTGACGTAGTTGCTGCAGCATGGCCATATCTACGCCGGAATTACCATTCAAAGATAAGTTGCCGTCGCTAGTAAGTGATGGAGACGAAGGCGACGTCTTGGGCTTGCAAACTTCAAACTCAAGCGCGAGAGTTGGCATTGCTGCGCCGATAGCACTAAAACAGCCACAGAGCTCAAGGATTTCGCTCTCCGAAAGTGGCTTAGCATCATGCGAGCGCGCATTACCAATGGAGCGCACGCCTTGGCAGCCCCAGCGTACACGGTAGACGAGATTAACTAAATCGTCGTTATAGTCAGCTTTCTGGTACAGTGCTTCGTGGAAGTCTTCGATACGATTATTGAGTCTCGAGCCGCGCACCATCGGCACTTTAAGGAACTCCATATAGACCACAAGTAGAGCTTCAAAGTCGCTGCGAAAGGCGTTGCCCTGGCCCGACTGCAGGTGGTTGCGTAGCTTGGAAATATACTCGAGCGCCTGGCTCTTCTTGGCCTCATCACTGATCCAAAGGGCTAGCCCCGCATTGTTCTCGACACTCAACGTCTTACTCATGAGGCTTTCCAGAAGCGACGGCTGCGTGCGCGTCATTTCGTCGCGAATGTCGTCCACTGCCTCGCGGTGGCGCGTCTCGACTTGCGCTTTGATGACGTCGAGCATCTCGCCCTGTTTCTTCATCGCCTTGTCCACAGCCTTGTCGATGGCCATGAGCAGCAGCCCACGCTGCTTCACCTCGAAGTCGCTCAGTAAATCGCCCAGCGCCAGGGTCTCGACCCCGCCGCCGTCGCTGCTCATGGATGCCATAGTGATGGTCGTTTGCTTGATTGTGCACTTCCTTTTCCGGTCTGAAACGAGTCAAACGAAAAGTGGGGGCGAAATTTACTCTCGGGATTTGAATGGACGTAACGGCTGCCACAGATCACACAATCGTCCACCAGTGTCAAACTGGTGGCGAAATCCATGTACATTCTGTTCACTTGAGTTCGTCGATCGAAGCTTGAATTGTCGAAGCACCCGCAAAAGGCGCATAGCGAAGGTGTGCACACTATGTTGACCTCGAAGACAAAAAGGAGCTGCGAGTCGTAGCCTGCAAGTTCACTCAGAAACAATCAAACGATCACAAAAATTGTATCACAATCCAGCGTTGGACAGCTTCCCGCTTTTACATAAATTGAAGCTTTGCCATTGCCTCATTCGTACGGCTCTCGCAGGTTACTGCCATAATGTACGTGCATGTACAGTAGTGATGGCTTTTATTCCGTACGTCGAATGCCATGCTCTGTGTTCACGGAAGTAAGAGTTTTTCCAACGCAGATCATGAAGAGTCTTCAGTTGCCGATCGCTGTGAAGACGACGCAAAAAACGAGGCTTGCCCAGCGCGAATGGGGCTCTTAGAGGCTGAAATGACGCTACATGTATGCCATAGCCAAGTTTTGGGCGCCAAAGGGACCAATTACTTTACCTTGGGACAATTCGCAGCAGTGCTTCAAAAGATATAACTAAAAAATAAATTACCGTGGCATTTTTCTACCGCATTTATTCTCTAAAATTTATTTCAGAAGGATGGATCAGACAGTGATATGATTTTCCATGAATTAAAACCCGGTAATTTATTTTGCGTAACATTATTAGGTTTCTTACACACTTCAAGTGTGTCGTTCGAACCGATAAGTATGGTAATATACATGCATTAACCAATGTGCTTGGCTTACACAAAAAAGTTTGGAATTGATCAATTCTAGTGAAATCTTGGAAGGAAACTTTAAAACTAGCGAGTCTCTACTTCTAACTGACGGCACTACCAACGCGCCAGAAATGTGACCTGCGCCAAGGACGGCATTTAATGCGGAGTGTAGCCCAGAAGCTGCGCCGATTTAAGCAGCCTACTTTCTTCATCAAATCTGACCTTACTAAGACAAAGAATATGTTATCCAGCTGTACCCACTGGGCCCGTATTAAATAGTACTTGCGAACATGCACGAGCTGTGGATCCGTCATTATCGTGCACGACCGCTCGACTTTTTTACTGAGACCAGATATAAAGTTCACTTATTTACCATGTACGTCGTTTTGTCTGAATTTAGAATTTAGTTTTTGAAAACGTCACCAGAATCGAAATGTTGTGTCGTTTTGCAATTTGAGGCAGAAATTAAAATTTTCATTTTACGATCCACGACTATTTAAGTGGTACGACTACACACTTAACTCCCCTCAAACCTGTCAACTTAGAGATGAGGGTGACAAAGGTCTCTACAAGCGGCCGCCTTATTGTTATTATCTACGACCATATTCATAAAAGTGTCGTAACTGTGCCAATTGATTCTACGCGCGATGCTCGCTTTACGGAATTATTTAGACTGATCTATCTTATTGGACATGCTCTTGGTCTCTGACCTTGTCTTGAGCCTTCTATGCTCGATTAATAGGGAGCGATGATATCATGGTTGACGAAGAAGCTCTGAAATTTGAGAAACCGCAGACTTTGTTTTAAGTTGTATCTTGTCAGAGTCATGGATCTACTTAAATACTAATATGAAATAGTTAGTAATAATAATAGCTAAACAAGGAGTTTAAAAGGAATCCGCTATAATGAAGGACTCGGAAATGGATATGAGCATGAACGTTCTAACGTGCAGCATACGCACTACATTAGCCACAGTATCTTCTTAATACTTGTGGGCGGACGGTGACACAGCAATTCACACACATTCGAGACCGTTAACGTATACTGAAGCACGAGAGCTAATGTTGTTCGTCTTATTAATAAGCTCATGCGGTCACTACTAAGTCTGTAAGTCGGGAGTGCTTTGTCATTATTATTCATTTGGAGTATAAAGATATGTGCAACTAATTAAAGGGTGTGTATTAAACTACGCTGTACCGGTACTGTATTATAGTACGTTGTGCCGGTAAGAAATCGTATCAAGCTACGGCAACAATACTATCTCAGCGGGCTCGTCGAATACGTTCTCATCAGGTGGATTCAGCGGTTCCGTCACCGACATCGGATCGAGCGCATGTAGACTCGACTAGCTGTAGGCTCGACTGGCATCTCGGTGGCACTAGCAGAACGCAAGAAATGAAATGCTCTGTAAATATGATATAGCTAAATGGTGCTAATAATATTAACTATTATTATTTATTATTAACTTCATTTACCCTAGCTAGGAAAAACGTGCGCTATACTACGGAAGGGTACCCTAGGTAGAATGTTACTACATGTATACTTGCTCAACCTTATTGCCCAATCAATGCAAATAAAACTGGGCTGGGCATATTTCAAAAGTTTAAACTTGAGTGCGCCATTTTCAGCTCGAGTTGCTCGGTCATACGTCTAGAGCTTCACCCGATGCCGGACCGCTTGATCCACAATCGCGTGTTTAAAGTATCGAAGGAGCTGAATCGACTGGTGGGTTTTGCACGCTCTGCGTCTCACTCATTCGTTAGATACCCAGACAAAACTAGCTCTAACCATTTGTGTCAACCTTCTTCTATTCCTCAGGACTTGCTATGTGAGCAGCACCGCCGCCAGATCGGTCATCGCAAGGGTCTTCCGGACTGGGAGAGACCCAATACACCTGCTGGGAAGGCCAGTGGTCGTCGCGGGAGGACGCCGGCCTTTTTCGCCTGGAACGAAGAGTCCGAGCACACACCACGGCCGGCATGGCAACCAGAGACTCCGCAGGTGCGTTTTAGATCGATGGTTGCAGTTGCAGTGAGACTATGGAGCTCATCATGCATTGGATTTCTACCTGCAGAAGGTGGCGAGGACGCTGCACTTGACCCCGACGAGAGATCGCGAACGGGACGAAGACATGCAACCTGCTCCGGAGAGATCGCCATACGAAAGTGTGGGTGGGGGCAATCTGGAAACGACCACAGCACTGCCATCGGAGCAGGTTGAACATGAGGGCGTGGACGAGACCTCGGCAATTGAGGTCGACAGCGACGACAGGTCCGTGGAGGAGGATCGGCCGGTGGTGGCAGAAAGAAGTATCGCAGTTAGTCCGCTTCGAGAAGATATCCTGGACCGGCTTCATCCTCCTGCTGCAGCTACAGTATCATCGCGAAACCCCACACCACTATCGACTGTGGAGGCTGCTTCTTCGCCATATCACCCACCTTTGAGTCCTCGTTACAGACATGGTCGGCGACTTGAAGCAAGTGATGCGGCCGTTCCAACACCTCGCGCTCAACAATATGCTGCCGGAGTCACGACGGAGCAGGCGGATCGCTTTAGAATGAGCAGAACGAGTGGGAAAAGGTTCCGGTCTCCAGCCAAGCGTACAACTCTGTGGGGTGATCTGTGCGATACCTACATTCATCAAAGCGGTGCCAGCAGCAACCAAAACAACTCAAGGTTTGCACACAAGCGCGCGACCCCATCTGCTGCTGAGCGAGCATTTGGCGGTTCCTCAGTGTTTCGTACACTCAATATGAACGCGTCCGCGTGGCCTACATCTGATTCTGCAGGAGGTCAGCGCCGGCCTGTTGTGACTGGCTCCGACGCGATGAACGTTGCGAATCATGCAGTGCGAGCGTTTCTTGCAGGATGTGACGATGAAACTAAGCAATCTGAGCCGCCAATGCAGTCTCATCTACGCGGCGGAGAGAGTGAGTGGGTGACTGGAGCCGTCGAAACCTCAGATCAACTTCCTAGCGTATCAGCGACTGGGAGCAGGACCGGCAACAACCGCAAGAGCAAAAGAGTTTCGTTTGGAGGCCAAAACACTCGTCCGCAGCCTCGCACGCTCCCTGTACTTGCCGACAAAACCACGCAGACGGAGGATTCACTACTGCCAGCTCGTTATAACGTCAGAACCCTCCCGCGTGACACACAAACAGGAGACTATCCTGCCTCTGTGCGCTGCGCTGCGTGCGATTCTGCAGCTGACGAATCTGGACGTCCTCGAAAGATACCCAGGGGCTCTGCCAGTTCCATTGCAGAAAGTCCAGCGCAACAGCGTAAGTATCGTCGAACCAGCAGCCACTTGACGAATCCAATTATGATAAACCCGCGATACTTGCCCGAGCCAACGACATTCCGAGGAACATCCACCCACTCTTCGGTAGTTAACGACAGGCTAGCGTGGCGATGACGTTCGAGTAAGCAAAAAATGCAAACCGTGTACACTGTAACAGCGGACATGGAAATCGTTGCAGCAAATTCAAATTGGAGCTCCCCAAAATACTTTTTTTTTTCTTCACATGACTTGCTCCATACGGCCTTTGATTAAAGCGATACGTCTAGAATGGAGAAACTTCTTGGTCTTGAAGATCGCCACAGGCAGCAGCTTGCCAGAATCTACCCCAAGTACGTGCGTCTACGACAAGGAAGCGACATTCGCTACCGTCTGAAGTTCACGCGACCCCCCTTGAAGGGCAAAGCCGTCACAATTCACGTCCGCGTCATCATGAACAAGATCGGCATCACTGCGTCTCCACCAAGTCTCGTAGTAACATCCAAGGACTGGCGGCAAACTCGAGAGATCACAGTCACCAGCTCAGAAGATTCGGAGCTGCGCACGTTTCAGATTCATCACAAAATCCACGAGACGTACGACGACGTCTACAGTTCAGCTGCAATGCTACCGTCATTATTCGTGTCTGTACTACAGAAAGAAGCCACTTTCCTCTTCGGTTTTGGCTGTACCGTCGACGGTCGCCTGGGCACGGACGGAGGCACGAACATGACGACGCCAACGCCGTTTGCGTGTCGATGGCTACATCCGCTGCAACTTTCCTGTGGTAAAGCTCACTCGGCCATTATCGACGTGTGCTCCAATTTGTACTGCTTCGGACTCGGGGCAAGTGGACAACTTGGACAGGGTGAAGACAGTCTAGAGTCGTCGCAAGAACCATTACGTGTCCCTCATCTTGCTTCCACATGTGTGCAATACGTGGCATGCGGCAGTAACCACACACTTTGTCTAAGTGTAGATGGCCGTGTCTTCAGTTGGGGGGACAACAGCTGTGGACAAATAGGAATGGGTTGTAAGACTACACAGATAGTAAGCACTCCGTATCGGGTAGACAAGATCGTCAGTCTCCGCGGGATTGTTTGTGGAGGCAATCAGTCGTTCATTTTGACCAAGACGAACGTGTTAGCGTGCGGTAGCAACGTCGCAGGGCAGCTTGGTATGGGCGATCGCATTGATCGAACCAGCTTTGAGCACATCCCGTTCTTCCGTAAGGTATGCGCTATAGATCCGCTCGCTATGTCCTGCACTGGGTCGTGGTCCGAATCGGAGATAAAAGCTTCGCCTGAAGATGTCGAGTTGTCCTGTGGGATGTATCATACGCTGGCGCTTAGCAGAGGGCATGTATACTCCTGGGGTCTTGGAAACGATGGCCGTTTAGGTCATGGAGACCACGAGAGTCGTCTGGTTCCAACGCTCATCAACTTGTTAAAAGACATCGCAGTCGCTTCCATAGCAAGTGGAGGAAGTCACAGCGGTGTCGTTGTTGCCAATGGTGACGTCTTCACATGGGGCAATGGATCATTAGGTCAACTAGGTCTGGGAAAAACTCGATCTCGAAGCGTCCCCACTCGCGTACGTGCCTTGCAGGATGAGGGAGTAACACAACTTTCATGTGGAGAGTGGCATTCCATGGCGCTTTGTAGAGATGGCACGTTGTACGCGTGGGGCTTTGGTGAAGAAGGCCAGTTAGGACTTCCAGACGAGGATCTAGAGCCTACACGTCGAGTGGCTCTACTCCCAGTACCGGTCCATGCACTCTCAGGTACTGGCGCTACGATGGTGTCATGTGGAGGTTCACACACGTACGTGGTAACAGTACAAGAGAATCGTCGGCAACTGTTTGCTCAGATGCATCGAGGAGCTTCCCAACTAGACATGCAGCACGAAGAGCAGCGGGTAGCAGCGCTAACCTCGGGACGTCGTCCATCCCGACGAATACCCTTCGGGCGCCGTGCAAGCGAGGGGCTAATTCGTGTCAAAGACTGGAGACGACCACAGTCTATGCAGGGCAACCAGCCTCGTCCGAAACTCGAGTATATTGCAGGACGTAGATGCAGCAGTGCTCGTCGAGCAGAACCCTGTTCTCAGCCTGTACCCGCTGCTGTAGCCGACTCCTTTTCATGGAAATCTCGACCCCTTTCGTCCAGATTATCGGTGCGCAATGCATGTCGTCAACAGAATCGCGAGATGGAAGAACTGCGAGATGCCATACCACCACCTTCAAGTATTCTTCCTGGCAGGACACAAAGCCGACTGGGGGTGTCTCCACGGTTACTGCGCCTAAGTGAACAAGTCGGTCGCGGCAGGAAACCAGCCGAGAACTCGGTTGTTACTCGAGCAGTCGCTGACACAGTTCAAGCTGCCACTGAGAATTGTCTAAGCCTTGACACTAAGAGTTTCTGCATGGAGACGAGGGGCTCGAGTTCTCAAGCTCGATGTGACCAAAGTGAAGACGAAGGTACACGGGAAATCACGGAACGTGCTTTCGGTCTTCAAGTCGACGCAACTACTTCCTCAGGCGACGACGAAAGTTTGGTATTTCCTGTACTTGTCAGCGGTAGAAGTGGCAATTGCCCAGAAATGGAGGCCGACATTCGAACCAGGTTGTCTAGTGTGTCCTAGTCTACTGTAGACGAATAACGAACAATGAGACCACTGATAACTTCATCTCAACTCTCTCTTGGTCTAACCCGCCCTTCGTCGCGATAAAACCCCGAAAGCCGACTTTCAAGTCGCGCCGGCTCCACCGGTGGCAAACTCCCCACGTGCAAAATAACTTCCCGAGGAATCGGTTCGTACGCTTGCACTCCACTCGTCCGTGCAAAGTTGCAGACGTTGGCCATTGCACCAACAGACATGTCGAGTAGGTCTGTTTGCACAGGTGTAGGGCCATTGGGGGAGCCGGTCGGAGGTGGCGAACGAGCAAACACCATCGTAGGACTTGCTTGAGGCGGTTGGGACCGGCACACCTGCTGTTTTCTTGCTTGGTAGTAGTCCGAATAAGGCCCGCCAGGCTTCAGGAAAGCGAAGTTCGGATTGTCCCGTTCCCGCTCCTTGGCTGTGGCTTCGAAGGCGTCGCCATTGCGCGCCACAAACTCCACGAGTCTGTCGATGCGCTTTTTGACATCTGGAGGGGCGTTCTCAATTGCAAGAGGCTCTGGGTCTACTGCAAACCTGCTCGAAGCTTGAGGAATTGGTGGCGGGCGGAACGGAGCGTCAGGAACTGCAGGTATCGAAGCGAATGGTGGTGCATTTGACCTGTTATGAGCGCGTGCGGCTACGGCGACAGAAGCCAACCGCGCCGCTTCCTTTGCCTGGGCGATACGTGCTTGGAATTGCTGCTCCAGCTGCGCAGAAGTCATCGTTCGATCCTTCAAATATGACGATTGGACAGGTGCATTTTATTAATTCTCTGAAATTCAGAAAAAAAAATCATGAATTAAAATCGGGTAATTTATTAGCTGTGAAAATGATCGAAACAGAAAGGTTTATTGCAAATGTACTGTCAGCTCAATAATTTTCATGCGTGTCGCTCGAACCGTCCACCTCAGCTAGGTACGGTAATATATCTGCCATATTAATCCTGAATGTTGCGCGAAGGGAGCTTGGCACTGAAAAGCGACGCGAGAGAATGGCGGTTTGAACTTTTGAGTTTTAAAGTGACCCAGTCTTTCCTTGTCACGGTACTTGTCAACTTCTGTGTGACGGGGTCACACAGTACCTTGCGCTAGAGGAAGTTGGCTTCCGAGAGTATATAAGCTCTCAGTGAACAGTAGTTCACAGGTCCCTTTTGTCTAAGGGAGCGAAGTGACCAATTTACGGTAAGTTGTAAGCTGAATGTATTTATAGGTAGGCTAAGCTTGAGTTAGATATACAAACTATAAGTCACCTTTACAAAGCTATGTCATCAGCCAATGGTTGGCCTCGAACGACCCTGGTACCATGTACCAGATATCCCGAAGTGTGAAATGTCACATTTCATGTAGCTAGGGGTACACTTGGGGTTACGTACCCCGTTACATCCTCCCCCACTTAGGCTCGCTTACCGACCAATCAGAATGAGGAATGTACGTCAGAAACTCTCATTCTCAAAGTCGAAATACATCGACTTGGCTGCGCGAATGCGGCGGAGGCCCACTTTACAGCTAAAGCCTCAAGCAGCTTTTAAGCGCTCTTCTCCTCGGTCTCCACATCGGCCTTTAACATGCCCCGGGCACTGCAAAGAGCGGTGCGAAAACTCGCTTCAAGGCTGCTGCCGGAAAGGCGCAAGCCAAGAGCACTACGCCTCGCGGCAAAGGCTCTGCACTCCAGGAGGCTACTAAGGTGCGATCGACTCATCTAGTGACGCGGCTGCGAGCAAGCGTGCGAGCAAGCGCCGTAGTCCGTCACTTTCGGTCTCTCCAGACAACCGTCCGAACTCACGGTTCGCTGAACGTGAGTTCAATTCGGGCAGTGAGGACGAGACCGAGACCGGGAGCCCTCATGATGCTCCTGTGGGAGGGAACACTCCAGTGCCCAGCGAGCACGACGACGACAGTGTGCACTCGCTCTCTAGTGATCACGGTGATCACAGTCCCAGTACCTCTGAGCGCTCGGAGGGTCCTGCCGTCAAGGCTAAGGGCTCTCCCAAAGTTGGCGACGACGAGGAGAAGAAGCCTCTCAAACATCTCTCGCTCGTCGAGGGTCTTTCACGTGCTAAGGCCGCCAAGGCCGAAGACGTTAAGCCCTCTTAGAAGCGCACGGTCTCGAAGTCTCCACTTCGCAAGGAGAAGGAGACTGGGTACTCCTATCGGAGCCTCTTCGGCTCCTCGGATGAAGAGGAAGAGGAGAGTGCCATATGAGCCCCGGAAAATTTCGAATGACCTCGACCAGCAGCAGAGCAGGAGGACTGTCAAGCTGCCCAGCGCAGGCGTCGGGGTCCGGTGGTGAATCCTGTCAGCCAGGGAGCTACCATCAACGCAAGAGGTTCTTGATCTCCCGAGGAGAGCTCTGGGGCTGACCTCTTTCTGGAGATCCTCGTCGCTCTTCGTGGCCATGTCGGTGGTCACACTTCTAAGGGTGTTTATGAGCGTGCTCTGGTCCAGAAGGAGTAGTTGTTCTTCGACAACTTGGAGGCGACCCGGTGCGTGCTTCTCGTGCCGCACCGAATTCCTCTGAAAGACTTCACGACGTGTCGTAAAAAGCCCAAGAACCGGGGTGGTCTCTACCCTCTCTGGGGCCACCCCTGGGTTCTTCTCGAGAACTGTCCCAACTGGAACTCGTCTGAGGATATGTACTGGGTGTGGGTTGAGTCTTTTAAGTACTCACCCTCGGAGTTACGGGAACTTCATCAAGATCAGCTGCTGTCTCGCATCCTGGACCAGCGTGATCTTCGCGTCCGGATTTTTTTTTCGTCCACTTAGTCAGCAAGCGCATGCTGCCAAGAGATATTCTGAAGCGCGTGGCTTCTTTCACTCACGATGAGCGCGGGTACGGTCGTCGTCAACGTCCGTACCCCGTTCGGGCAAGAAGCCCCGGACTACTTACGAATTTGCCGCCGCTTCTGTTCCTAGATTGCGACAGCCTTCGGGCAGTCTATCAGGAGCCGCTCAGTCGGTTCCCACGAGCTCTTGAAGTGAGCATAACCCCTCCACTTCACGAGGATCTGTCGCTTACCGCAACGCCGTTACTTCTGGTGAATCTGTTCCACGTGGTAGTGGGCTTCTCCGTTCCGGTCAAGCAGGGGCGTATGTGCCCTCGTACGAGTACGAGTACTCGGCGCCTCCGGAAAGCTAATCTCGTCTGAGTGCTTCTCCTGCGGGTCCGACGCAGGGCCCTGAGGTTGACCGCCTCCGTCAATGTGTCCTCGTGCTTGATATTGCACTTGGCCTTGGGGCTGGCGGTGATACTGCCGCCCAGGCCGGGGATCAGGGCGTGCTCGCTCGTCTTGCGGACCGCCTGGACCTGTTGGGGCGGATGTTCTCGAGCCTGCATTTGCAGGTGGACCGGCGATCCTCTTTGTCCGATCTTGACGAGGCCTTCTGCTTGATCCAACGTGTTGAGGCTCTGCTATCCCCTCCGGAGCCGCATTCAGCGCACTCCCAGTCGTACGCGTGGTGCGTACCCAACGTACTCGACATACTCGGCATATGGCTCTGGGGTCCGTTCGTACGGGCCCCCTCCGGCGTACGGTATCGACCGCAACCTTGCTGTTCAGCCCAAGGCTTGAGTGCTCCCCTCGTCGACGTCTGTGGCCGGTCCTCGCTTCGCTGAGCTGGGCCAAGGTGGATCTGCGAGTCTGCAACCCCTGTGGATCATGGTATCGCGTAGGACGTCCAGCATAGAACGTCGGGTGCGTCGTCATTGACTTCGGCAGGTCGATGGTGTACGGCACACCATGTCTGGCTAGGACTGCAAATGGTCGAATGAAGCGGCGCTTCAGCTTGTTGCTGCAGACAGAGCTTACAGTGTCTACCGTAGGTTCCTCGTGTCTAATAGCACTTATTCACCCACCTTAAACACACTTAATTTTCCTCTTTCATGTTTGTCAGAGTACTCCCTCTGTCTGTCCTGGGCCACTGCCATGGCATCGCGGACCCTGCTGATCACACTCAGCTTGGTATCCACAAAGGATCCCACTTGTTTTCGAAGTGAAACCGGTATCACATCATCTGAGACGTGGGAGGAAAAAGCTTTCTGAGCCTCTCCCCCCCACTTAGAATAGAGGACGCAATGTCTCCTCGAAGAGTGAGAGGCACTCTGGGGTGACGGAAACCATTCAGGTATAACGGCGTGAACCCCGTGGACCGCGTTGTTGAGCGCAAATGCAACGGCTGGAAGCTGCGTCGACCACGTACGCGGGGCTTCCGCGCACACACTGCGCAGAGTGTCCTCTAGAACTCTATCGACGCGCTCCGTCTGGCCGTCTGTCTGTGGATCGTCCGCAGTGGACATCTGCAGACGAGCTCCCAGTAAAGGAAACAGCGTTATCCAAAATGCGGTCGTGAACCGCGGGTCTCGGTCTGAGACAATCGTCTTCGGGAGACCGTGATAGTGGAGCACGCCATCGACGATCAACCTCGCGGTCTGTTCTCCTGTGACGGCTACGGGTACTGGAGCAAGATGTACCATCTTGCTCAGCCGACACGCGAACACCAATATCCCGGTGTTGCCGTGTCTGTCGGCGGGAAGCCCAAAGTTGAAGTCAAGACTCATCGACTTTCAGCAGTCAGCCGGAACGGGCAGGCTCTGTAGCGGAGCCGAAGCGTGCCCTGCGGGTTTAACCCGCTGACATGTTTCGCATGTCTTCACGTACCGTGCGACCCACTTGTATGTGGGTCCACCAGAAGGCCTGAGAGACTGACAGGAAGGTCTTATCGCGCCCCAAGTGGCCGCTGGAGGGCGCATCGTGCGCCTACGCGAGGATATCGAACTTCAGATCCTCCTCTGTGGGAACGACCACCCGTGGGGGTTCACTAGGCTCCACCCGGTAATAGAGGAGGACTATCCTTCAACTCATATCGGTGGATCCGGGAACGCCATCGCGACGAAAGCCAGTCAGACTTCGCGTTCGTTCCTGCTGCTAGGAACTTGACGATAGCCGCGACAGCCTCATCGACCCGATACGCCACGCGTATCCGATCACAGAGATCCGTTGTCACCTGTGTGATGTGGACCAACTCGTTGGTTGGACGCCGAGAGAGGGCGTCCGCAAGCACGTTGAGCTTATCCGGCTTGTACTCAACGCGGAAGTTGTACTCCGCATAGATGGACAGCCACCTCGCTATCCGTTGGGAGCGGTAAGCGAATTTGTCGCCGTCCGCAAGGATGCGTGGTCTGTGTAGATCACGAAGGGCTGTGAGCTCAGAAGATGCACGCGAAGCTTCACGAGGGCATACTTCATTGTCAGGAGCTACTTGTCGTGGACAGGGTAGTTCCGCTCGGTAGCTTTGATCTACCTGGACTGGAACGAGACTCGCTCGTGTCCAGCTGCATCGGCCTGCAGCAATGCACAGCCGATTACGTAGCCCGAGGCACCGCAGACGACGCTGAACGACTTCGTTTTGTTCGGCAGGACCAGGACAGGAACCTCTTGGAGACTGGCCTTGATGCTGTCAAAGGCATCCTGGTGCTCTTGCTATCAACGCCAGTCGGCGTCCTTCTGAAGGAGGCCCACAAGGGTATAGCGAGGCCCGCGTACCCTGCGCTGTACTTGTGAAGGTAGTTGGCCAAGCCCAACCACTTTCGAAGACCCTTCTGGAATAGGGGCGTCGGTCCTGCTGAAATGGCCTGGACCTTGTCTGGGTCAGCCCGAACGCCCACGTTGCTGACGAAGCAACCGAGAACCTTGATCTCTCATGACACGAAGACGCACTTGTCGATG